AGCGTCTTGCAGAGGGCATCCACCATCCCTCCCGACCGGATGAGATACATGACCTCGACCCTCGGTCGGAATATGCGCTTGTAGTTGCTCGTGAAGGTTTCGTTGGTCTCGAATATGTCGCGGATCTGCTTGTGCGTGCCCCCGGTCCGCATGAGAGTGATCACGGCTCGTAGCTCCTTCTTGATCAGCGCGGCCTCGACGGGCGTGCTGCCCGACACGTCCACCACGCCCAGGCCGGTCAGGCAGTCGAGCAGTTTGTTCTGGTCGTTCTGGACCATCGCCTCCACGAAGGTCTTGAAGTACGCCTGCGGGCGCGCGTCGAGGCACACGCAGGAGCCGAGGTCGTAGAAGACCAGACGACCGTCGTCCGTCAACCCCACGTTGCCCGGGTGCAGGTCCCCGTGGAAGAGTCCGTTGCGGAAGAGTTGGAAGGCGAAGGCGGCGGCGAGTCGGACCGCGACCGTGCCTGGCCGGGCTATCTCCGACACGGCTCGCAGATCGTCGAGCTTCACCGAAGGCACGTACTCCATCACGATGAAGTCTGGCCCGCCGTCGTACACTCGGGGCACCTTGACGAAGTCCAGATCCGCCAGGGTCGTCCTGAATCGGTCCACGTTGCGGATCTCGCCCCGAAAGTCCGTCTCCGAGATCACGACGGGCATCATCTCGGTGACGACGTCCCTCATGTTCTGCGTCCCCGGCACGCCGAGGCCCTTGAGCACGTCGAAGGCCACGCAACAGTCGCGGAAGCCGTCCAGGAAAGCCTGCCGCACCCCCGGCCGCTTCACCTTGATGGCGACATCTCTCCCCACCGCGTCGGTCCCCCTGTAGACGGCGGCGACGGAGCCGCATGCGATGGGAGAGGCTCCGTGCGGCACGCCGTTGCTCGCCAAGATCTCCAGCTGCTCGCCACACGGCTCGAACGGTTCCACGTCGTCCTGCAGCCTCCGGAGCTCCTCCAGGATCTCGTCGTCCAGCCCTTCCCCCTTCACCGATGCGAACTGCATGATCTTGACGAAGAGCGGCCCCTTCTCCTGAGCCTGCGTACGCATCCACCCCCCGAGCTGCTGCCGGTCCGTCTGCCACTTTATGCGCGCGAGGAGCTCGACGCCGAAGACCGTCGTCTCTGCTATGCGCCTCGCCCTGTTGCCGAGCTCCCTCGGCGCGAGCACAGCCCTCGATGTCGCTACGGCCGCGAGTGCCATCTCTGACAGTCGTCCATCATATTTTCCGTCCGGGAGAGGGCGCGCGCCCTACTCTAC